TCAATTGCTTTATTTTAATACTCCTCACACTCATATCATAGGATATGTGTATGCGTATGAATGGTAAAGTTTCTCAGTTGTTATAATATGTATTCAATAACTTTCGCACATCCCAACTGAAACATGTACAAATGCATCAGACTTTCTTTCATACCACACCAGATAAGTTCTTTTTCAACACTATCCTACATCATATGTTATTTGCAAAATATAAGCCCACTTCTCGCAGATAAACGAATAGAGCAGTAATACTTCTTCAAGGTTTCTATCTAACGCTTCAGTGTTCATTTTGATGTTTCTTCATTCATTCATCAGATTGATAGATGAAATTCGGTTTGTTTCAGATGAAACGCAAGGAATGGAATTGTAGTTAACGTGCCAAATAAGATTTCGAATAACGATTACTAATAACATACGCAGATAATAATACTATTATTATGATTATGATTATTATTATTATGAACTACACACCAAATAATATAGCTGGCTCTATAGAATTTAGTAATGTTTTGTGGGTTGAATTGATTTGCCATCATCACCATCCACTTTCATCTGCCACCAATCTACGTCACGAATCGGTCGTTCGTTTTTCAACGAAGAAACGAACACGTTACTCGGTCACATCTGTAAATATAATTCAAATTCAAATTACTCCAGAAAAATATTTTCCCACTTTCTTTAATTCATCATTCATTCTAATCGTCGACGAATGTTTGTGTTTGTTAGCTAAAGAGTGCATTCATTGTATTTTCATGTTTCTAGTTGAAATGATACGTATTATTTGTTTCATCTATCCATCCATCGATTCTTCCTTGCTTGGTTCTGTATTAATCTCTTTCAATTAACCTAACAACTTGTGTGCCCTTATTCATTTTCTTGATATCGTACGATCAAAACTAACAAAGCCAACGAAACAATTCATTCTATTTTTACAAACACCATATTTGTTGTATGGTAGAATTTTTGTAGTTTTATCGTTTTGTTTTGTTCTGTTTGCAATTTGCTATGATTGATGCTTTCTAGTTATTGAAAATGAACGAACCGAGAAAAAAAATTGTAAAACATAAAATCGTTTTAATCGATATTTTTTTCACCACTTTTGAAAATATCACCATATTTCTATTGTGTTTCTCGAATCGAATAAAATTCCTCTCTAATGAATTTCGTTCACAACATGCAAGCTTCTTTGTGGGACGATTCTTCGAAATAGTTTAAAAGCATGAAATTTATTGTGCGCGCATCATATCATCATTATTAATTTTAAGAGGAAAGCGAAACCAAATACAATGGTCATCATTGCGCGAAAAAAACACACCGTTAACAATTATCATTGCGCAAAGAACACCGCAAACAACTATCATTGCGCATTCATCATTGAGTGAAAACATTTCTGAAGAGCGAACGACCACTGAAACTCGATCAGTAAAGGTCTGCTGTTAAGAAACAATGAACAATATCGGAGAGAATGAACGGACTAATTTCAAAAAAATGAACGATGATATATCCTCACATAATGAATCATCAAAGCAAAGCGATACCTCAGAAGCTTTCGGGAGCAACTTAACAACTTTTGATTTTAACTCGAAATGTATACAGTTCATAAACAAAATAGTACAAATAATGATGCGTATACACACGTACAATAATCAATCTCCAGCCAATTAAATGAATCAAGTAACTCAACTTCGATGATAAACATTTACAATTAATATAATCACACGTTTTGAAACATTATTACATTTCGAAGAATTTCTTTCAAGTTGAAGTCCGTGAACGATACTCAAAAACATATTGTGCAATGATTATAGTAGTAATAATAATGATTAATATTGAAGAGTGCAAGATTAGTGATTGAACTTGTTCAGTTCAGTCTTCTGATAGAAAGCAAAATGAAATCAAAGTAATAGTCGTAACCGTAAGCTAGCCAGCGGATCACTGAAACCGTAATGAAGCAAACTAAACTTGTAAGCAATTAACTGCATTATAGAACAATACTGATTATGAGATTTCTTCTCTGTGAAATTATTTCGGACCATTCGAAATACTTGGTATNATCATCTCTAACATCGATGTTGAGAACTTGGCCGCACGAAATGAAATGCATCAAAAATTACTGAATCGAATTCCTACCTGATCACTCGACAATCAGATTAACTACAAAATCAAATGTACACAAGAATAACTAAAATCGAAATCAAACAAGAGCACGACCAACCTTAAGCTCAACCAGTTGCTCACTTAGGCGTTCGTATTCCTCGCGAAGATTATCGGCTTTCTCCTTCAATTCGTTCTTCTCCTCTTTCGTCGCCTCTATCTGCTCTTGCATTTCTTTCAGTTGCCTTCGCAGTTCATCCTCTTGCTCACCCTCACCCTGACCTTCACTCAGAAGCGATTTGGCCACCTTGTTGGCACCTTCCGCCTGATGCATCGCTGCTTCGGCGGCTGCCTCGAGTTGTGCGCCACGCGAAAGTAACGCCACAAGACGTTTGATGACCCTAATGGTTTACTCATCATTTCAACAAATTCAAACTAATCGCGATTTCTTTTTGTGCTTGAACTAATTGGTCTGATTTGAGAAATGAGTTGATGTTCACGCAAGAACACTCATGATTTGCTGAACTGAACTAAACAGAAGTGTANGTGGCTGGATAATTGTAAGTTGAAAGGAGGTGATAAAAGAGGAATGACGATGTATTCAACATGAGATGATTGCAGAGTGAAGTATGACAGTAAGGAAATATTGCAATGACCATTCGGATGAGTTGCTAAACAAATAAATTTATCTGCTTATCAGGGTTAGCAAATTTGACTGCTGGCATCGAACAATAACTGATCGATGGGTGTATCGCATATGGTTTGATCGTGAAGAGTGTAAACGAACAGAAATAGGAGGAGTGCAAATCCGCATATGTAGAGATTTCGTTGGGCACGGAACAATCGCATATGAAGCACATTTCCCGAATCGGCCGTCACGTACGAAGAGTGTGAGTCCAAGCGAATCTCGGACGAGTACTTACGAACCTCACGAATTGCATCTGCAATTCGCATGCTATGGGCCACATCCTGTGAATAAGATTTTGGAATTTCGAAACTTTTGAACATTGAAAATAGATTCATCAGTATATCTGAAATGAAATGATGAAGATGTTTCGGTTGATAATTACGTACAAATGTGTAACTATTAGCTGTAGCAAGGAGTTCCCGGGCAGCTACGCTGGCAAACTGATATAATGGAACATTGTGTCGGTTCGGTTTTTATTTTGATTGAAAATGTTGATTTTGAACCGAATTATGAAACTTTGGAAGTTCAGGTTTAACTGCCCGAGCACATACATAATACGTGGAAATTTCGTTTGTTGGAGAACAACAGAAGAAGAATCGCTGCCCTATAAAAAAAAACAAACCAAAGAAAAGCAGCAAAAGAACGGCAATTGCTGCTACCGAATAGACATTCGTATATTTTTCGAACATTTTCATGAGACGACTTCTGAAAATCCTGTTCCATCTGAAATGAAAATTCTATTGTAGTCTGTTCCATCTGAAAATTCTATTGTCTATTGTAGTGGAATTGTTTGTTTTACCCATAAACTTTTGCAAAATCAAAATTCTCGTTGATAAAATCTTTCTGGATGGATTTTTTATACATATCAAAAGGCTTCTTTGGATTCTGCGATGAAGAACTTCGAATGGTACACAGTCAACACTTAAGTTGAATAAAAGAAGTGTTCGTTAGATTTTAAGCGGAACATTGGAATGTACAAAGTGATAGTGACATTTGCTATAATATGATGAGTTGAGAAAATCACCTCGAAGGTCTTATCCACGGCAGAAGAAGCGCTAACACAATGAAGATTTCTGCGTACAGAATCAATGCAATTGCTGTCCATTGTAGAGTCATTTCTCTTCCTTTTTTTTCTTGTTGTACAGTCACTACAAGCACTTTTGCTTTGTACATTAGCTGTTTACGTATAAGATATGATACACATGCATGAGGGTGGATATACGATACGCATGATGCAATGGAAGGAACATTTGGATGTTGTGTTGGATGGTGGTCATCTTATCCCTTGTACTTAGATGATCACCTGATAGTGCCTTACAAAATGATTATGAAATGAAATATTGTTGAAATGCAACTTTTGTATGTAGTGCTCGGACGATTACCGTATCTCTTTAGGCTTGTATGATATTAATCCTTTGTGTTTCGATAGTATACTCCAGTGTTATTGCAAAAAACGTCGAAAACAATTACATGTAATCTAAATTTCAAAGAGACATATCTATCTGACTAATAACATANCTTTAGGCTTGTATGATATTAATCCTTTGTGTTTCGATAGTATACTTCAGTGTTATTGCAAAAAACGTCGAAAACAATTAGATGAAATGTAAATCTCAAAGAGACGTATCCATCTGACTAATAACATAGGGAAAGAATGAATTCTTTCTTATGTATCTCTTTATGAATTTCAACTACCTCAAATCTTTTAACAGCTTTATCAAATCAAACGAATAATCAAACTTGTAATCGAATTCTATCGGGATTTTGATGGCCATTTTGGTAGGCATTCCAGTTTTGTGAACATCGTATTGGTTTAATTGCATTCATACGGTTTTCTGTTCAATTGAAGAGTGTACGTCAATGATATAATATGAGACTCTATCAAATCAGAACATTAGACTTATTCGGAGCATTCTGTGCTCACGCTAATGACTACATCTTACTGTAAGCATATGACATATTCATTTGACTC